TTGTGTTGTTCCATTAAGGATTTATATTTTCGAAAGATCGAGTACTTACTATACCTTATCTGTATAAATATAACTCTAAACACCTAAGTCCAAAATGGCGCACGGCCGAGTGTGTTACATAAAAATGAGGCATCCAGGGCCAAATGCAAAGAAATAATATGGTGTCACTGCAAAGTATACACTTGCTCACTTGTTCTGTCTTTCTTTTCTTCTTACGTTTAGGAACACCACAATTTTGCAGCATCAAATTATAAGAAAATACTGTAATCAAATTTGTAAATTTGGCCCTGGTTACCTCGATCGTTTTCAACAAGCCGTAAGCCATTTTGGATTTAGGTATATAACTCAAAAAACCCTTGGGATCGGATTCTTTTTCTGGTTGTTGAGTCGAATGTTTTGGGTGGCTTTCTTGGTATTGCAGGATGTATTGTATTCTGGGTTAGGGTTTTTGTATTTCAGGATTTTGTTTAGCTTCAAATTCATTGTTCTCGGCTATTGTTTTATCGTTTTAACAGCCAAGTTTTTACTATTTCGACAACCAGACATACACATCAATATTATTATTCATTGGTATAATGTGTTACTTATTCGTTTATACCAGTATTTACCCTAAATTATTATATGACCGTGAATCTTAGAGCCTGAACACTATAGCAAATCGAGTAATCTGATTGGATAGATCGCATCGCGGACTGGTCTAAATTCTCCGGTATTAACCGGTCTGATCGCATATTAATCTTACGGCGAAAACATTTTGTCCTTTTAAATGAAAATTGGTCATATAATAAAACTCTTATCAACCGAGCTTGGTCAGTCTGTACGGGATAATCTTCACCTCGGTCGGGTACAGACCTCACTGCGCTCGGTCTGTACATTCCGACCTCGATCAAGATTATCCCGTACAGACCTCCCGCTCGGTTAATAAGATCTAAATATTATATGATTCTTGTAAATAATAAAAAGTGCCCCCAAAAAACTAAGGTGTAGTCTTCTTGTAGAAATCTATGATAATGATCGTTATGCCTGGCCGGCAGGCATCCAGTAAAAATAATTGCTCATAAACGAGTGCCGCTTGCCTAAACCCATCAAAACGCCTCTCGTAATCAATATTCTCTTCTACCCTAAATACTCAGTAGCTCCTATGAAAATATTAATCTTTGTTTTCGCGTTATAAATCTGATAATTACTAGATCCACAAGAAAATTTTAAGAAAAGTTTCAAGAAAATATGAAAAGCTTAATTTAGTAAGAGTAGCAAAATAACACCTGGTGAAACTACCGTTGATTATATCGTTTGTTTAAAGTTTGCCATCGATTTTTAATTCACAATTTAAACTAAGATATACATAACTGGATATTATGCTTTCTTTGGTTGTATATAGTCAGACTAATTTTACGAAAGAAAAGAACAAACTCGATAGATTGACGACAATTGCTTTATTAGATCTACTTTTATTGTTTTATCGGCTTCCTTATTTGTTCGTCAGTGGTATTTGTTTAGCATTTACGACATGATTTAGCACAGTTCATTGCGTATTTTTGCGATCTACAGTTCCTGTTTTTTACCACATGTTTGCAAGTACCGGCAGGAAACCTGTCTTTACATACTGCAAATAAACAAAGAAAATATCTTAAGCTGATAATGTCAAGTTACTTGGAGATCGGGTGGGTGTGAAGAGGTTCCTAAGGTGAGTGATTTGACACAAACGACGGCCTTACAAAACATTATATAGTTTACATTATGCCTGAACAATGGCAATTTGATACCTCGTTTGAAATAAGGCCGTTCTTCTCCGTATTCCTCATCTCTCTCGAAATCATCCCGTGACAGTTCATCACGGCTGGAGGTAGCGGAGACGACAAGGATGGCACACAAAAGAAAGACAGCGATGAGTCTGGAATCCATGTTCAAATACCTATAACGTCCAAAAGTAGAGAGGTCTAATTTTCAGTGATTTGATATGATATGATGTGATGGGCAAAGCAAAGCAAAGCAAAGCAAAGCAAAGCAAAGCAAAGCAAAGCAAAGCAAAGCAAAAGCAAAGTAAAGCAAGCTTAAGATGCAATATTTGTGGATTGCCTCACCCTTTATCTGCAAATGATGCTGCGTGATCGAGGTCTCAAGAATTATGAGTTGTCTTGCTCTGATGAAAAATATAAATAGACAACTTATCATAAGCCGTACGCATTGAATCATACCTCCCTTTTCTTTTAGCTCTCAATGGATCGGAGAAACAGCATTTCTTTTTTTTTTTTTTTTTTTTTTTTTTAAGAATGCGAAGTGGTCGGTTGTTGTTTAACTTTTCAGAAAATGAAAGAACCGAGCTGTAAGTGGCTGAACCTGCAATTTTTTTTTCTACAAACACGAAATATCAAAATGTTTTCGAGGACTGAACGCGTAAACTTTATAGAAAAATTAAACGAAACTTACTTGTAAGTGCAGAACAAAGTGTGGCGTTCACTGCTATTGCGCCGCCTCTCACTAATGTGACCCGAGTTCGATCCCCGCCGTGCTCGGTTTCGTATGTGAGTAGAGTTGTTTGTTGGTTCTCTCCTGTGCTTCGAGGGTTTTTCTCCGGGTTCTCCGGTTTTCCTCACTCCGCAAAAATCAACTTCTAAATCCTAATTCGATCTTGGGCTTTCACCTAGCATGGATCTCAGGGTTCTGTTTGTGATTGCCCCACTATGTGATTACAGCCAAAACTGGTAGATTTTTTTAATGAAGACTTAATTTCCCTCAATTAGAAGACCGCCAGACAAACCACAATTGATCTAATGAAATATTAGCCTGTATGTTTATGCAAGTAGGCTATGTGTGTCGTCAGGTCTCTGCTTCGCCGAGCCTAGAAATGTGTGGTTTCCTTCAAAGAAACAATTTTCTTCCCCCGCCAGAATTTGTGGCATAGGTATTTCCAGTTCATCCAAGTTCCGTTTGCAACGGATAAAGATCAGTTGATGATAACGGGAAAAAAGGTTTGTTTTTGAAGATATATTTTCCTAATGGAAGATTGGTCTAGAACTTGGATGTTTTTATAAAGTTGGCGCCTAATAATTTACAGTAGTCTGAGGGGCGTATTTTGTGTTGTTCCATTAAGGATTTATATTTTCGACAAAGATCGAGTACTTACTATACCTTATCTATGTGAATATACCTCTATGCATTTTCGCTTTTTTACTCGTTTTACAAAGGCAATCATGATGAGTTCAAGCAAAATAGCAGATAATGCCCAACATGTTGGGACTTGTTGGGACCGTTTGAACACAATTACCAACACTATCCAGCAACTGCCACCAATGTTGGGTGTTGGTGCGGGCGTTTGCACGAGCCTAAAACATGAAATAAATTCCCTTATTAATAAACAAGAAAAGGCGAAATTCTGAACTCTAAATACTAATTTTCAAACGTAAATTTATACCTTAAACCAACTAACAGAAAAGGCCATATTCTACCCAACAAGTCTTAGTTTCCAGCCGTAAACCGGGAATAGGTTGCAAATATTCACATACGTAAAATAAACGTATGTAAAATTCGCGAGATGAACGCCAAAAGATTCCTACAGGAATTTTCCTTTTCGACCCCTACCGGCGGATACTTTTGCCGACATTCGACTTACCCTCTTCGCTTAGCGCTAATCACAGGAATCCCATCTTGAAAATTAGCGAGCTGAACGAACAGATTGCTACAGGAATTTTCCTATTCCACCCGTACCGGCGATATCCGGTTGCCGACATTCAACTACCCCTCTTCGCTTAACTAGTCACAGGGTTCCCAAAGTTTTTAACTCTGTATTTTCCTAGCTTTATATGATATGGCCCCTTAAACTTGTGTGCAAAGAGTGGAAAGGGTGGTTCTGCTTGTTCCGGTAGTATACAAACCCTTTAAATTCTGTATATTATAAAATGCCGACATCTTGTTCGGCCCTCTCGATTGGGATACCTGTGTTATGTTGAAAAATTGATGAGAGACCGAGACCGCCACCGGAACGCAGAATGAAGTGTCTGTTGCGCTACCTGGTGGACCCGTCGGATCCACTGGAAAATTAATCAAATTACACTGGCCCACGGTAAAGAGAACTGAATCAAGAAATATTTTGGTTCACTTTGCAGCGTCACAGTCACAGTCTTTAGTTTTCCATAGGTATGCAAAATCTATTCTATTAATTGCGTAGATTTACACGGTTGTAAAAATGCATTGCCGGATTTAACCAGAAGTAATTTCCTGTCTCGTGTGGGATTTTCATCTCGTAAATCAAAAGTTCTGAAAATAATTCTTTGCAACGGACAGCGCAAGGTTGTCAGTGTTTGACCAACCTTTTGGCTTGAGCAGCAAAACCCAACTGAACGAAGACCAACAACATTTCCAATGTCGGGGCCGAATTCTTCGGCGTAGCCGTAAATGCTTCGCGCTGCCATCCCAAATGGAAAGGATTAAGTATGCGTTCAATGCCATCAGCGTCACATGTGGACCTCAAAGAAAGAATATGGCGAGAGTACTATGGAGGGAGCTAGCAGACGAGCTCGAAGCAAAATGTAAGCAATAGAAATTTTAAAAATATTTTATTTAAGTGTCTTGTCATTTTAGCGTTTTCGCCACTGATATGGGAAGCTTTTCACTCACACACACTACCACTACATTCAATTTTGCATGCACACAACGCTCAACTCACATGCAGACACATGTTTATTTTTACGGAGGGAGGAAACCGGAGAAACCCGGAGAAAATCCTCGTAGCATGGGAGAGAACAACACATCAAACAAACTCATGGTGACCACAGGGCTCGAACCAGTGACCCGTACCGTAAAAATCACAGTGGCGAATGACGACGTTTTAGCAGCGTAAGCCACCCATGCTACCCAATTTTCTCTCATTTTTATGAAGAAAAAAAAAATTAACACAAAATTTAATTCCCTTCCTTACACTACTAAAAAACACTAAAGAATTTTATTCCCAATGAATAGAACACCTAACAAGGGAAGTTCATATTTTTTGTTCTTTTACGTTTCTTTACTCAGTGTAAGTCAAATAAAATCGTCGTTAAAGACAGCAGCAAGGAGAAAGAATGGATTTACATTTGCATGCAGGTAGGGCTATAAATCAGATTGTTGGATTTTGAAAAAAGTTCAGATTGCGATCAAAGTTTTGTCTGAAAATGCGAGGCTATTCTGTCAGTAAAATCGGCCCGTTGGTCTAGTGGTATGATTCTCGCTTAGGGTGCGAGAGGTCCCGGGTTCAATTCMCGGACGGGCCCTTTCTTTTAGACGATTTTTCAATCCCACATCACGTCATCACGTGGTCGATTTGAAATGTACTTGCGGATAACGTAACATACGCTACGAAGGCGATTTAAAAAGTCACAATTACCTCGGTCTACTGGGAAGAGTAGTAATGCTGGCACGAGGCTCCAAAATATCAAAATTATAGTTAATGTTACAATCTATAGGGACTGAATATTGACGTCTTTTGATATACCCTTCTCTATCACAACTGATCATAATTTGACTGTTGCTCTCATATAATGGAAGCAAAATGAACTACAAAACTTACAATACCTAATGAAGAGTGCCTTTGTTGTTGACAATTTTCACTGGCCGGGATGCAACTCGCGATGAAAATCCTCAAAAATGGTTGGGTCCGTCCGGGAATTGAACCCGGGAACTCTCGCACCCGAAGCGAATATCATACCACTAGACCAACGGACCGCTTTTGATGAATTGATTGTTTGTACCCGGTTCCTTCTGTTACTTCATTCGAGTGCTGATACCCTCGTGTTTATAAATGTTGGTAAGTCCTAGAACAAAATTTCGAGGAGACGTCAAAAAAGATACTGCCAAGCCGATGTAATTCTTAGATTGAACGTTACGAGATCGTGGCCATATTGGTGCCATCTAACAAACGATTCCTCATTAGCATTCATTGTTAACGGCTCCACAATGGCCGCCATGTTTTTGTCTTTTTGGGAGTGCTTGCAACCAATCAATAGTCTCCTTCACAGTTCCCTGCTCCATCTTGAAAGGTAGCCGTGCCTTTSCATCGAAGCGAGACGAACGGTGAGCTTGCAATGTTAGAGACCTTTTTTAACACCTTRGAMAATTATTCGCATGTCTCTATCATTGCAAGCTCACCGTTCGTCTCGCTTCGATGCAAAGGCACGGCTACCTTTCAAGACGGCGCAGGGAACTGTGGAGGGGACTATTGCGTGATTCCAAGAAGTTTTTAAGTGAAAAGAATCATCAAAAAATGAAGGGCCCGTCCGGGAATTGAACCCGGGACCTCTCGCACCCTAAGCGAGAATCATACCACTAGACCAACGGGCCGATTGATGAAATGTTTTAGGATCTCTCGCACATCTTCTTGCTGTTACAGCTTCAATTTATCTAGAACCTACATTTTTACATTTTTACATGTTTACATTAAGAAAAGATTACTTCCGATTAGAACAAATTATCCTCAAAAAAGACCTCAAAAAAGATAGTCCCAAGGCTGAAACATCCTAATTTCATGCAACTGTACCAAGGAGTACCAAGAGGTTTTTACTTAAAAGAAGCATCAAAAAGGAAAGGGTCCTTTCGGGAGATGAACCCGAGAACTCTCACCTCCAAAGCAAGATTCATAACACTAGACCAACGGGCCTAATGATGGATGCAATTACTAGTACTGCATTTCTTCTGCATGCTAGTTGAAAGTTAACTCCTAAGACCTGCATTTTTACATTTTATTATGGCTACCTTTGGTTACATTCAAATATCGAGGACACACATCAAAAAAGATAGTCCCAAGCCTAGGTATCCTATCCGGCGTACCAAGAGGTTTTTAAGTGAATAGGAAAGGGCACTTCCGGTAACTGAGCACAGTACCTCTCGTTTCGTAATATAAAATAGCCAGTGGTTAACAAACCTGTGGCCCTCATTCCATGATCGAATTAGAATTTAGGAGTTGATTTTTGCGGAGGGAGGACAACCGGAGAACCCGGAAAACCCTTGAAGCACAGGAGAGAACCAACAAACAACTCTACTCATATGCAACACCAAACCTAACTCGGGTCGCAATGATGAGAGACGAGCTCTCACACCGCTACGCCACCCGTGCTTCTTATTACCACTAGACCAACTGGCCCATTGATGACAAATTTTAGGATCTAGTCTATATCTTCTGCTAACTACTAGAACCTACATGTTTACATTACGCATAGGTTTCCTTCTGTTAAAACAAAGTTTCTAGGAGACATTAAAAAAGATAGTCCCTAGGCCTAGACATCGATCCTAGATTCATGCACTTGCAGGGCAGGGTACCAAGAGGTTTTTAACAAAACTTTTTGTCAAAATTGGAAAGGGCACGTCCGGGAATTGAACCCGGGACCTCTCGCACCCAAAGCGAGAATCATACCACTAGACCAACAGGCCAATTGATTAATTCTATCATGTTCTGTTTTTGGTAAATTTCGTGGGCAAGTTACTTCGATTGAACTACAAAAGAAAGACCTCCAATTTTACATTACGGTATGGTTACCTTCGGTTAGGAAAACATTTGATGGAACATCAAAAACATAGTTTCAAGTCTAAGGTACAATACCGTCGTGTAAGGGCGTGGTACCATTGCCAAGACTTAAGATGAGGATAATCT